TAAGCGCTTTGTATCTGATGAAAGATCTGCTTTTGAGAAGTCAGCAATAGATTACTGATTTCTTTGACTTTATCAGTCTATTCGGATTAGCAAGTCGCGTCGCTTAGTACATTCGGAGTCATCTGGTTCGTTGCATAAACGTGTTTACTTGGAGTCTATACTGAATATAACAAATTTTGTAAATGAAATTAAGAGACTGAAAAAGAACGAAGCTTCAGGTTTCGAAAGGCATAGGTAACGATGAATATGATAGCCATGGTCGACTCATAATTGCTGAATACTCACACTTTTACTTCATCGGTGCGTATGTGATGAATAGCGGTCGCGGTCTTGTCAATCTGGAAAGGCGAGGCAAATGGGAAGAACTTTTCTTGGAAAAGATCAAAGAACTGGACGAAAAGAAGCCCATAATCTATGGCGGGGATCTAAATGTCGCTCACAATGAAATTGGTAGGTCAAACATTTCCCACTCTGCACTGAAATTATATTTTTGTTCAGACTTGACCAATCCCAAGCAAAACAGAAACAAAACTGCGGGCTTCACTGATCAAGAACGTGCATGGTTTTCGAGACTTTTAGAAGCTGGATTTAAGGTAGGAATCCCTTTGCGGACTTACCTTACTGTCTTTCTTTCAATTTTAGGATACATATCGTGAATTACATGGAGATAAGCAGGAATACTCTTTTTGGTCATATATGGGTAACGCTCGATCTAAGAACATTGGCTGGCGACTTGATTACTATGTGGTCAGCAACAGAATTTTTGGAAAAGTAAGTTTGCTGGAATGTGAAGAACACTCGCATTATTCCTCTTAAAAGTTTTCATAGTCACATTTGTCAATCTCTCATTTCAACTTACTACGTAAAGCAATTTTCTCAGGCAGTATTTACACAACAATAACACCATATATATTCTTACAGTGCGAGATCCAAGTAATCCTTGAAAACATGTCCATTTATTTCTGTTTGATTGAATTTCGGGTGATCTATTCATGCGTTCTTCTTTAGAGCAACACATATTCGTGTATAGAACATGTAATGCTCTATACTCTAGAATGTTCAGGTGAAATCCAGTGAAATTCTCACAGAAGTTATGGGAAGCGACCACGCTCCAGTGATTCTTGAGATCGATATATGATCAGCAAAATCCCTTTTCACTACAAGGTATCTTCTCACATCCAACTCATCACAACTACAGGATATATTACTATGTTGAAACCAAATACGAGTTAAACTCACGATATGCTGATATTGACTAACGGATAACAACTTCTTTTGTTTTGATTTTTTACCATAAGTTTCGTTGTTATACAGCAAACTATCGATCTCTGGAAGTTGTCTATAATTATTCAGCACAAGTAATTCTCAGCATGTATTGTCTGCATTATCATAATTGTTTATGTAGAAGTGTATGTTTGCATAATTTCCAAATCTGAAGGTTTGCTTAATTTCCAAATCTGAATTTGTATTAGAGAACATAGATAAATCTCATTCATCACAAGCTTAGATATCAACAAATGGTTTAAACCAATCGGTTCATTATCAAAACTTATGAGGCGCTTTGCCGAAGTTTTACACAAGGGTGAGCAGCCGTAAAAACTGGTTGCTCCAAAGCCTGATAAATGGTTCAAGAATCTACTCATTGTCTAGAAAAGGAAATACGTGTATGAATACATGTGATATTATGTACAAGTAACAGAAAGATCAGTAAGAGAAGGATTTATGATCAACTTCAACCTCTTAGTTGTGCCAGCATACTTTCAATATCTTGGTCTGACATGGGTTTCGAGGCAGTTCCTATAGAAGTGGGAACTTTTGGAACATTGGCGAGCTGGAAAGGACTTCGATTTACATAAATTACTACAAACTATTTTAGGAGAAGGTTCTTATTACAATAATGTTTGACTAAATAGTGTAGGAAGTTTGAGAAAAGAAGCAAACTATTAAAACAGGCTTTTCATCACTTTTAGTTGTATTCCAGCTGTTTAATCTAAATTTCGAAGATTTGGTGTATTCGATGCACTAGATGAAATACCTACGTACTTGATTATCCGCGTTACTTTTGAAAATCGAAAAGAAACAAAAGTTTTTCTGAATGTCAAAATTTTCCGCAGTGAAATAGCGTACCAAAAATTTTAGAAGTTCAGTCAGATGTTCGCCTTTCAGCAAATATAGTAGGAAGGTGAAAAGATGAAGAAAACTCATACACTGACTTTGCTTTGAGACTCGATGCCGATTTCGTCCAGCACCTGATTCACAATGGCATTTTGTTCTTCTTCGTCACCGGATTCGTAAAGAATGTTGTCAAGAGCATCATTCATCATCTGGAATGAAAGTGATCATCACTATAGTTAGGTTGAAGTGTCCGAAATAGGCGGAAAGTATAAAGAAACGCACATCATCAGTAATTCCGAGGCGTTCTTGAGCCATTTGGAACTCCCGCATATTCTTCGCTAGTCGTTCAGTTGGCATCTGTTTCTCCATAGTTTTCATGGTGTTCACAGTGGTACCCATAACTTCAGCCATTTTGTTCATACTTTGTAAATGGCTAGAAAGATTATTTACGATATGATATTTGAAAAAAGTCCTCTGGAGTTACTCGTTAACAAAGAAACCATGGGTAGTCTAAATCTAAAGCACCTAAAAGGTAAGAGCACATTTGTAAGGAATTCAAAATCTGAACAAAGCCAAATAGGCATCAGTTTTGCTTTTTAACCGAAAACTTGAGTATCTTAGATTTGATCAGTGTGCAGCTATGCTATGTGAAGGTGTGCATTTCTCTACACATTCTTCAATTCTCAACACTAAGCGGGACAAATTTCTTGCAATAAATCCCCTCTTTTCTAAGAGTAACAAGAAAGTCGATTAAATAAATGATATTACTATGTACTTGTTCTGTGCACCAATTCCGGTCAGTTTGGAGCTCATCGCAACGCTCTTTGTCTTTTGATGACGAAGCTGAACAAGCTGCTTTGCAAGTACAGCACATGCATCTTTCTGACCCTGCTTTGCCAGCTTTTTGATTTCATTTTCCTAAAAACAGAATGATTAAGGAATATTGAAAAAGCAGAAGTTTCACATACCAGTTCCTTCTCTCTTCGTTCCAGCGTGCGTCGATCGCTTTCAAGCTCTCGATTAGCTCTTCGGATGTTTTTGTTATTTTCACGCATTTGCGCTGAAAGATATTCATAGATATGAGAAAAAAAGGTTTCATTAGAAATAAGTTAGTAGCTAATCCAGCATGCTAGCGTTTATTTCCTGTTTACTCGTTTACAGATGTTGAATCCCACCTTTAGGGTCTGGTTTGCTGAACCAGCTGCTCATGGCGTACTAAATATTCGATAAGGGACTACAAGAAAGAGGTGAAAGGTGCTGGGTGAATCGCCACGGGCAAGACGGCTGGCGAGTTTCTGGAAAATGCAAAGAAAATCGCTTTGAACAAAAAAAA